ATTATTATTATTGTCATGACTTGAAATTCCACAGGATGAAATCTTTCCTTTTTAATACGGGCAGACTTTATTACCTTACTAACACATATTCCAATTTAAATCCTCAAACAACAAAATATGACTCAGAGTAGAGGGGGATAGGAGAGAAGGTAGCAGCTGGGTGCTAGGCCTCTCACCTAGTGGGTGCAGGGGTCTTACTGATCTCCCCTTCCTTATTACAATTTCACCATGGCCTCTGCTATGCCCCTCCCACCCCATTCCTGCTCCCAAGACCTTGCAAGTAACCTAAAGGGTCTTTAGAAAATATATCACCTAAGCAAGTCTACATCTGCTGAATGATAATGACAAGGTTCCTATGGCAACCCTCAATTCTAAAGTTTGGATAGTAGAAGACAGAGAGGGATCATTTAGCACCTGGCTTATGGGTGAAACGCCTTGAAACTGCATGTTATTTTTTTCTCTCTACAATTAGAGCAAGGCCTCACACTTTTACGGCACATAACTGCTTATAAGATATTTTCACACATATATGAGATAAGGAAGAGAAACTACTGCCCCTGTTTTCTACAAGTTAAAAACCTAACAACTGGAGTTAAGAGCTCATGTTGTAAAAACCAAGATAAGATCTGTGTCTCTTGATTCCCAAACCAGAGCTCTCCTCTAGACCCCAGTCTTCTCTCTGCTTTCAAACCTTGAGACATATAAATCCAATCTTTGCATTTCTGCCTTCTACTACATTCTGGTTTGTTTCCACACCCACCAAATGTAAGCATGACTTAGCTCTCCAATTAAACTGTATACATGTCTATCCAACGCCATCCAGCTAGTTATTATCATCTACTCATTTAGATAGCGATGCCTATGGTAAAGTTTTATTCACCATAAGACAATGCCACAGGCTGCAGTTAAAGACGACCACGCACATACCTGCAGTCAAACCATGTCAGGATTATTGGTTCACTGCCACGAGAGAGAGACGATACCACAGAGGTAGGTGTCTCAGTAAGAGGGTGTTAGGAAGAGTTCATCATACAATACCGAACGTGTTCTGGGACTTAGGGTTAGGGTTCAAGGAAGTGTGGTTTTGCTCTGGATTGGGCTCTGTCATAAAGCAGAAATTCTACAACTGGGCATCTCCATAATTCTTCTCCAAGAGGTAGGAAGAGGAACAGAACAGAGCTAAAGGCATAACTGGTAAAGAAACAGAGATTATGTGAGCTGAGAGCAGGGAATGACCAGTCATTTTTGTACACTGCAGTGTTTCTGCTTTTATCTGTGCTTGGTGTTGATGATGGAGCAGCCATGTTTCTGTCTTGTTCTGTCCTCAATATAAAGTGACCCTGTCCCATGTCAGTGTTCTGTGAAACTATTTATGCCCAATAAGAGAATACCACAGCCTAGCTATCAGAGCTGGGTGGCTCTAAACTGACAGCATTCGGCAGCCACTGGTCTATTTAAATGTTCTCAATAACTTGCTCACAATACCTGTTTGTGAAAGGCAATTCAAGGGTGTCTGGGTGTAAGATAAATAAAGATCACGTCCCTTAATGAGGCTACATTCCACTGAAGGTAACATTTGTTGTATGTTCATAAAAGATAAACATAACAAATAAACAACTAAATCATACCATCTGGTTAGAAGGTGATAAGTGCTATGGAAATAAAGAAAGGCAGAGAGCAGGATGAAGGGGAATGCAGAGACCAGGCGAGGGGCGCAGTGATAAATGAGGGGCCAGGTGAGCCCTCCACCATGTGACATTTAAATGGTCTTAAAGGAAACAAAGAGGGTGACCAGGAAAAAAAAAAAAGCCATCCAGAGAGAAATTAGCACCACTGTCTCATTTCAGAACTGAGACAACTGGACCTGGAGAGATCTAAGAACTGGTCCAAAACCTTACAATTCAATGGCAGAAACAGGCAGAACCCGGATCTCCAGATTCCCTGCCTTTAGCTACCCTTTCTGTAATGAACTGGATATACAAGGTCATTTCGTGTAGGACAGAATCCAGAAACAACTCCAGAGTCACAGGCAGAAGTGCAAGTTCTGAAACCAGAAAGAGCTTCTGCAATCCGACCACACACAGGTTTGCAATACTTGTGTGTATCCGTACCAACCTGCTAAGTGTTACCTACTAAGTGGTCCCAAGAGGTCCAACCATGAGCCTCATTCAACAGAAGGGAACAGGAGGCTGTGAACATCTTTTGTTCAACATCACATCAATGGTAAAAGGCAGGGTTTATTTTCAGACCCAGGCTGCATAATTTCATAGCTCTGTTATGCAAAACACCACACACCGGCATGATGTTCACAGATTATATGTGGTCTAGAGAACCCCTAATAATACCTACTTCACAGATAGCTGTGAGACTTAAATAAGTATGCCTCCATATGCCTAAGAGAGCAAGGACATGAAAAAACACCAGCTCCTTTCCTACATGTGTTGAGTTGGAAAAAGCCTGGTGTCAGCACATGTCCACAAGAACAGGGACTTTGCCTGTTTTGCTATATCCTCAAAACGTGCCTCAGAGTGGGCACTAAAACGCCTCTGAACTCTGAACGGAGGGACAGATAGATGGATGGAACCTCCTCCTTCTGCTCTTTGTTGTCAACACTCTAAGGAACCCCCAAGAACATCTCTGTTTCCCTTGCCAGCAAGCCCACAGCCAGCCAGATGCCCAGTCTGGCCTTACTGGGCAGTCCTCGTAGATGCTGAACAAGGTAAGTTGCCTACGGGGTTTAAGAAGTCCACCAAAGCATCCTAGATGGACCCCAAAATCCATCTGTATCAAAGACATAAAATCAAATGAGTATCACATTCAAGTAGTTAGCAAGCTGCCAAGAGTTGATAAATGCAACTTAAAATAAATTCTAAAATAAAAGTGAGTATTAATTACTTTAGCAGTCGACAGCAAAATATATCTCTTTCTCATCCTAGGAGCACCCCTTTTTATAGCTCCATGGCTGACCCTTCGCTCATATCAGCCCTCTCCATCATGAGTCTTATTTTAAAAAAGCACCAAGTAAATTCCCCAGCAGTCTAATCAAGCTCCCTTACTCACTTGAAGGGTACCCTTCATAGAAAAGCAGTCACTTGATAAATTCCAGGAAAGTAAAAATAAAACATAATGGAAAAAATTGTCTAATCATCATGGCTAATTACAAAGAAAGAGCAAATCACTTTTTTCTCCCCAAGTGTCCCTGTTCTATTAAGAAAAGACCAATTTAACAAAGACATCCTGTGTTACTGGTATGAGTAGGAACAGAAGAAATCTTGGGAAAGGCAGCTGTTACTTATAAAACCAGAAAGGTGAGCTTTTGGAATCATTATTCATAAACATATTGGTGACATATTTAAATACATATGACTTATCAGCTAGATCCAAGAGCCTGGGGAAGGAGAGTGGGGTACCATGTTGATTCCACAGCAAGGCTGTGCCCTCCACAAGCTGAAGCTGACTGTGGTACTACAGAAACCAAGATTCAGAACCACAGGGCATTCAAAGAGGGAGGGTGCTTTCCAGCCAAAGAGGATTGAGAAGTCTTCTTGGAGAAGGTGTTTTAAGTGGGGCCTTGAATGATGGGTGGGAGGTGAAAGGGTGAAGGGGGAAACTGAGCGGGCCCTAATGACGTGCTGGTCACTCCGTGTGCCCCCTACCTGTCCAACCCAGAAAGAATCAGGCAAGAGACCTCCGAGGCCAGAGGGCTCTCATTCCTCACAGGGTTTTGTGCCACCACTCCCAGGACCCATGTTTTCAGAACACATATATGGAATGTCAGTCAGCATGCTGGGAATCAGAATTTCAGAGATGGGGCTTAGTCCCATGCTTTAGGGAAAGCCCCCCAAACCACAGATTAACATTATCTCAGCTTTCAAAGTAGGACAAATGAGACTTAGAGAGGGAATCCTTCCTTTTCAGTCATTCAATGAATATTTATTGAGTACCAACCTCAGGATACAACAGTGAATAAAACAAAAACACCTGTCCTGCCTTCATTACACATTTCTGGTCATAGAGTCCTCACTGTAATGCCATCACTATCATTCCTTGCCTTGTCCCTTGTTTTTTTGTCTTTTGTTCTTTGTTTTTTTAGATAAGGAAACTGAAGCATAAAAGGTTAAGAGAACACAAATAATAAGTGATGGGGTTGGGACTATGCATTGGCATTTGGCGACACCCCCTCACTTCAGTGCTGAGTTAGAAAAAGCCTGGTGTCTTGGACACCCAGACCTGCCCTGGCACCTGGTTGGTGACTATGTACAAGGAAGGGTCTCCCATCTCAGAAGTGGGGACGGGGAGAGGGGAGGGGGACAGTAGAAGAGCACTCCATGCTGGACTTCCACTGACAAGATTCCAGAATGTTCTATGTGCAGAGTCCAACCACAGTGCTGAACAGTAGCTATCCATGGACCAGCTTTTGGTTACTTGAAGGGTAACCTTGAAGGGTAACCTTCATAGAAAAGGGGTCACTTGATAAATTCCAGGAAAGTAAACATAAAACATAATGGAAAAGATTGTCTAATCATTATTTGACAATGGAAATGTTGTTCACCCAGACAGCCACACACCCTTCCACAGAAGTGGGCTGGAACCATTCCTGATGGGACAAATTGGGTGGCAGGTCTGAGCAGTCACTTCCCCTCAGGGTCTCATGAGGTCCAAATTAAGAAGCTGAAATGTAGCCTTGATGTTTCCCCCGGATCCTAGCAGTGATAAACAGAGGTCCATTGATCATCAGCAAAGAGAATAAAACACAGAGGGGAGATCCTACCAGAAATGCGAATCAGAAACCATTTCCAGGTATCTTCTTTGGTGGAAGACCCAGAACAAAGCCCTGAACCCAAAGGAGGCCAGTCAAGCCCAAGGCTGGTGCTTCTGCTTTTGGCCCTGTGATTATAGGCAAGTTACTTCAGCATAGATCGCCCAGCTGAGAAATAACAACTTTCAAAGGTTTCTGTGAGGATTTAATAAAACAGCTTTAAAAATGCTTCACGTCTTACCTGGCACACGACAGGTACTCTACACATGGCTGATGCATCTGAGAGTGTTTCTTAATGTAGGTTCTGAAAAATAAATAAGGCCCCTTTAAGGTTAGCTGTCAGATGAACCTGTCGGCCATTATCTTTTTTTTTTTTAATCCTCCTCCCCCAACTTTTGTTTTGCTGAGAGCAAGCAGAAAAAGTGAAAATGACATCTTAGAGTGAAGGTCCATGGGGCAGACAGAACAGTGGCCTCTGGGAGCTCACATGCCTCTTTTATTCTAAGCTGGAAGCCAAGAGAAACAGATTCCCCTCAAGGGCAGGAGAAAATCCATTATGAGCTTTTGATACCCAAACAACCAGGGAGCCCCAAAAGGCCAGAATTCAAAAGATGTGGGCAATAAATATTCCCAGTAGACACACAACTGCAAGAAATGATGCAGTCAGAAAAAGGTAAACCTAAATTATGTGTTCAATTACAGAACATTACTCAAGAAAGGTACTAAGCGAAACACTCAGTGGAACCTGTCTTGTAGTTAATAGGTAAATGTCCAAAATTAATAATTAATGCTTCCCTAGATACACAGAAAGTGATGAATGATTGGATGAGACAGAATCTCTGGCATATGACACAAGAGACCTCACCTTTGACATCACAAACCATATTGCTGGGCACCTGGGACAGTTTTCCACTTACCAGGACCCAGACTTGAGAAAACAATGACCAGCCTCAAGGTGGCTAACCTTGCAGATTCACACCTGTACTGTGAAAATAATGTTGTATTACTGTACTTGCACAATTTTGGAATGGCATCTCAAAATAGTCATTTTTGAAATACGAAAACAAAGACAAGAGCTTTGGAAATAGATTCAGTAGATAAAGGAAGTACACTCTGGGGAAATGATGGGCACCCACAGGACACAAACAAAAGGCCTTCGCCTCGTACTGTGGCCTCTGGTGGTATAAACTGGGTCCCTGCAAGGCTTCTGGGAGAAGTGCTTTCCGACAGGGACTCGGACAAAGGTGCCTGCTCAGTGGGCCCAGAGCAGCCTCAGGCGTAGGAAGAGCGGCATTATTGTAAAATTCTTCTGGACTCCTAAAGCTAGAAGAATCTTAGAAGTAAAAAGAAGTCAAAAGCCGAGCACCAAATGGAGAGTGGGTTTTAATTCCAGCTGTGTGTGTGACCTTGGTCTTGACTAATTAACAAAATCAACAAAACGTAGCCAGAAGGTGGAAGCAACCCATCATGGATGTGGATGTTCATCAAGGACATGTCCATCAACAGATGAAAGGACAAACAAATGTGCTGTATGGCATATACATCCAAAAGAATATCACTCAGCCTTAAAAAGGAAGGAAATCCTGCCACACACTGCACCATGGATGAGCTCTAAGGACATGATGCTAAGTGAAATAAGTCAGTCACAAAAGGGCAAACACTGCCCAAGTCCACTCATATGAGGTACCTCTCTATAGATAGAGTACTCGGTGGATAGAGTACTCAGACCCATAGAAAATGGCAGTGGCCGGGGGTGGGGTGAGGGGGAGAGTGGAGAGATGTTTAACGGCTGCAGAGTTTCCATTTTTTTCAAGATCAAGAGTTCTGGAGATTGGTCACACCATGTGAATGTACCTAACACTACTGAACTGTACACTTAAAAAGAGTTAAGATGGCAAATCTGATGTTATGCATAGGTTACACTTAAAATTTATGAATTTTTAATTTTTTTTTAATCAGCAAAATGATATTTAAATCCAAGACCTGAAACAAGATTCAGATAAGATAATGCATACAAGCTAAACATAGAATCTGGCACACAACAGGTGTTCAAATAAGTGTTCCTTTTTTTCTTCAGTCTCCATTGTCTTTCAAAATAAGAAATAAAGCCCTGGCCAGAGAAACAAATAAAGCGCCTGGAGGGGCAATCCCAGCATCAGGAACTCTGAAGTCACAACACCAGTTCAAAACAGGTTTCTCTACTCAATGGCAAGTGTGGCCTGAGAGAAGGCACTGAGCCTCTCTGGCCTCCTGAGCTCCTGAACAAGCAGATCAGCAGCTCAGAGAGGGTTGTTCTGAGGACGAGTGTGCCCAGCGCTTAGGAGAGTGCCTGTCCCATGACAACATGCAGCATCACCAGGGCAAAGCGGGGGCAAGACCAATGTGTCCGGACTACCAGGCCACTGCCCTGACCTTCCCGGACCAGCCTGCAACGCCAGTGGCACACACCACCGAAACGGTGCATCCGCCTGTCAGCAGGAGCCTGAGTGGGGGACCCTGCAGGGCCTTCCCAAGTCTGAGGTCTCTCTGCAGATCCACCCACACACCCACACACCCTCAGCAAGGTCCCTGGGTGTGAGACCTGCACTCCTGGATGCTCTGTAGCGCCTTCGCCCCAGAATCTCAGGGTGGGCAAGACTCCAAACTCTCTTAGCCTGAGAGTGGGTGAGGAAGCGGCACTGCCCAGACAGCCTCTGCCTTGAATACCTTTCCTGTTTCCTCCTTTCCTTCCACCCTCCTCATTCCCATCTGTGCAGCCAGGAAAAGGTCAGTAAGCACAGCCCCATCTTGGTATTCTCGCCAAAGCTCCACATGAAAGGGAAACTGACATCTGCAAGGAGATAACAGCCACTCGTGTCTCCCTCTGTTAACTTGGTGGCCAAGTGCAGCCACCACCTGGGCTGGGGATGCCAGCCTTTGCTAACACTGGCTCTGCCAAAGGGACCAAGTCCTGCAACTCTGCGAGCTATTCTCCACGCCCACTCCTCACCCACCTACACACACACACACACACACACACACGCACGCACGCACACACACACACACACACAAACACACACACACACAAACACACACCCTACAATTCACAGCAACACCACAAGAAAGAAACCAAGAACCGGGAAGGGCAGAATGCTATCACAGAGCAAGCCGGACCTGGACTTGAATCCCTCGGACAGGAGATTAACCTCACGAAGCCTCAGGCTCCTCAACCACAGAATGGACACCCTGCCACGCCCGGCCTCTCGATGTTGCTGTGAGGATCCTCCATTGTGAAATCCGGAGAACTCTCCTACGTCGCATTTGGTGCCACTCCCCAGTCCTGCCCCCAGCATGTTGCTCCAGTCCCACTGGCTCTTGCACCAGCAAATCCACGCTTTAGCTGGGATTATGTAATTCACTTCTGCTCACCACCCTTCAGCCAGCATGAGCCACGTGGCCCTAAAAAGGGACAGGGGCGGGCAATATTCCTGAGTCCCCAGAAGAAGAGAAGTGGATTTGCTTCAGAGCTAGAAGTTTCTAACACAGACGCAGTCCTCTGTTTTCAACAGCTCATGGTGAGTGGAGGAGACAATGCAGGCAAAGACCTGAGAACAAACAGCCCAGAAAAGGCCACAGTAGACACTCGTGCAAACCACTATGGGAGAAAAGGGAGACTCCACTCACTCATCCTGGGAGCCTGCACTGGAGAGGTGCTGTCATCAGGAAGGCTTCTCTGGGGAGCCGGCATCTGAACAACACACAAACAACACAGAAGACTTTCCCAGGAAAGGGACTTAATAGCAATCACCGAGTGGTGGCTCAAGACGGCTCCTGGCCTCATACAACACTGCAATTATGTCTTGTCTTTTGCAGTGTTGAGGCTCAGGTCTCTCCACAACTAGACAGACTCACTCTGAGAGGGTGTACCTGATGCTTTGACTGGCAGGCAGAGTCACCAGGACCACAGGAAGCTAAGTGCTGAGCAAAAGCGTGGGTCCTTGCAGAGGTAGCATGGGGACATAAGCCGGACAGGCTTGGTTCAAATCCCAGCTCTGCTACACATCCTCTGGGTCTATCTTGATGGTGTTTGCAGGCTTGGTGTTTTAAAATATAAGCTATTTTTGTGAGAGCTGTGTTTTCATTAACATAACACACTTACAAAGAAGGAGCAGTCCGTGGTAAAAATTGCTGCCATAAGTAAAAATACTCAAAATGATACTGATGATTAACATTACTATTATATCTGTAAATCTATGAGACATAGCATGTCCTGAGTGCTTACCGTGTGCCAGGATATACCTGAATAATCGCCTATAAACCCTTATTGATCCTCAAGATATTGTTATTACTATCCTCTTTTACAGATGAGAAAACCGAGGCACAGAAATCAATTAAGTTGCCCAAGGTCAAGGGAATGTATTCCAGAAAGCAGATTTCCTCCATATTGAGACTCAGTGGAGAGTTTAGTGCTGCCACCTCTCCACCCAGCATCACTGCAGACAAGAACATGGGATTAGGATTCAAGACTCACCTCTGCCATTCCGTTGCTGTCTGAAATTGGGCACATCCCCTCTATAAGCCTCATTTCTCTCATTTCTAAAACGGAGATTAACCCAGCATCATCTCAGGTAAATGAGACAATTAAAATAAAATAACAAGAGTAAAACACTTGCCACAGAGAAGCTCTCATCAATGCTGGCATCTTTATTTCTTTTAGCAGTCAAGGGTGTTCCTGCTCTCTCAGCTGGCCCAGTAGCCTCCTGCCTCATGATGGGGGCACTGACAGTGTGTGGACAACACTTACCACTTCTAGGAGAACCTTCTGAGCTCAAGCCACCTTTATTAGAAAGAAAAGAAGGCCAGGCTCAGTGGCTCATGCCTGTAATCTCAACACTTTGGGAGGCTAAGAAGAGAGGGTTATTTGAGACTAGGAGTTTGAGATCAGCCTGGGCAACATAGCAAGATCTCATCTCTACCAAAAAAAAAGAAAAGAAAAAATTAGCCAGGCATGATGGTGAGCATCGGTACTCTCAGCTACTCAGAAGGCTGAGGTGGGAGGACAGTTTGAGCCCAGGAATTGGAGGTTACAGTGAGCTATGATTGTGTCACTGTACTCTAGGCTCAACAACAAAGCCAGACCCTATCTTTTAAGGAAAAAAAAAAGAGAAATAGGAGTGCTTTCCTTTTCTTTTTTGAGGTGGAGTCTCACTCTGTTGCCCAGACTGTAGTACAGTGGCACACTTCCAGCCACCACAGCCTCGACCTGCTGGGCTCCGGCGATCCTTCCGCCTCAGCCTTCCAAGTAGCCGGAACTACAGGCG